TTTTATATTTCCCAGAAACTCTCTTATGCTTGGTACATAAAGGACACTGAATAAATAGTGGTTCCCTTTTCTCTTCTTCTAAAAAGGATGAGAAAGACTTGAACAAGCTGTAAAAGAAGCATAGCAATACAACTTTTAAAAAAATGTTTCAGGGGGCCAGCGCTGTGGTGTAGCAGGTTAAGTCTCCACCTGCATCACTAGTATCCCACATGGGCCCCAGTTTGTGTCGCTGCTGCTCCTCTTCAGATCCAGCTCCCTGTTGATGGCCTGGGAAAGCAGTAGAAGATGGCCCAAGTGTTTGGGCCCCTATACCTGCGTGGGGGACCCAGAAGAAGCTCCTGGCTTCAGATCAGCCTGGCTCTAGCCTTGCAGCCATTTGGGGAGTGAACCAGCTGACGGAAGCCTCTCTGTAGCTCTACCTCTCAAATAAACAAAATCTTTAAAAAAAAAAGTTTCAGTTCTGATACTACAATCTGTAATTGTTATTACTTGTTGGATAATTGCATTTTACAAAGCCTTTATGTATGCTCTCTCTTCATTCATGTGATGGCAAAAATGAATAAGCCAGGATTAGCACTAGCCTGGAAAGGGATGGAATCTGGAGGCCAGCCATACCACACAAAATTGTTGTAAAGTGGTCTCATGGCTTGGGAGAAAATACTGGAAAAGAACTAAATGCTGTTAACTCGTTTTCATCTCCCAAGTGTGTCCGGAGTAGTCTCTTGTTTCCCTCATCATCTCATGTTTCTCTGCACCCTTCTCTCCATCTCTCCAATGCTGTTCCCTTTTCTTCCTATGAGTTTCCCTCCTCTTTTCCCTTTATTTCCTTTTTTCTTCCATATCCTCTACAATCACTCCATGGAGACAGTGGTGGTGATATTATCCCTAAGGCTGCTTCTGGGGAAGAGTGTCTGTTCTCATCATTTTCTATTTCAGATACTGATTTTAATTTTTTGACTAATTTTTCTCAGCACAAATAGAGTATAGTACGTGACAGAAGTGGCTAACTGTCCACCATCCGTAATGGTGTCTTTAAAAAGTGACTAACCGGCTACAACATTTCCCAGTCTCCCTTGCAGTTAGCTGAGACAAGATACATGAGCTCTAACCTATGATAACCGAGTAGAAATGGTCCATGTCAGGCCAGTTCGTGGGGGAACTTGAAGCATTCATATGCGGAAGTTGCCAAGGTTTCCATCAATTAGGATTCCTAAAGGACTATGGTTGAAAGCTACTGCCCAGATTTCCCCTTGCCCAATAGTAGTATACAGGCAAGAAATAAACTTGTACTTTATTTTAGACATGTAACATATATGTACTCACACACACACACACACACACACACACACCTGGAGGTCTACTTTTTTAAAGCACTTGGCCCACCTTAACTGATATAGAGTGTTTCCATATCTTTAGTAATTGTTTTAAGTCCCAGGCCTGCTGGGTTATAGGCTTTCTGTGAATATGCCTGTACATGGGGTAGACTAATTAATTATTCACCCCAAAAGATGGTCTCCTTTTTCTTACAGGGAACAGAGCTGTTATGTATCATCAGTACTTTGCCTCTGAGTCAAAGAAAAGGCCTGGAAAATGCCAATTAATTCTTGTAGCCCAAATAAAGAATGGATGGTGTATCTTTTCTCTTTAGGTTTATATTAGCATCTTGACTAAGGCTTTCTATCAAGTGGCTTTTCTAACAGAGTTCTCTTTTCTAACAGAGTGCAATAGTTGAAAATGATGATAGGATTCAGCAATATTTCATTCTGAAATGCAATGGTTTCCTGATAACCCCAACTTAAGAATTTTATTTTCTGGTTTGGAAACCAGGACCAGTCTTGTTCTGTGTAAAAAAAAAAAAATCATTTTAAAATAAAAAGGAAGAAATTCTGAATAGCTTGGTGACTGTCCCACTACCTAAGCCTCTTGCTCAGTAAAACAATGCCAAGAAATTCCAGTGGCTTGGTGCACATGCAGCTTGGCCACTGCTTTATATTTTAAAGGTACATGAGGTGCTGTTACGCTGGACCCAACTGGTCCAAACATAACCTTGGAGAACCAGTTTGTGTTGACTTTAACTCCATCCCAGAGACATTTGGAAATCTCTTGAAAACTTAATAATGAATTGTGGGTAGAAATCTGATAAGGTACTTAGGGCAACAGAGTTAATTCCGAATGAATTTATCATAATTAGTTTTGCCACAATAAATGTTAAGGGAATTAGAACGGCTTAGGCCAACCATTTAGAACATCATTGACATAAACCAAAGGACCCAAAGTACAAAATGTTATTGTGAGGCCACACAGATGATAGTGTGCAAAGTGTCACTGATCTCCAAGTGCCTCCATTCGGCATCTGAACAGCCCCACTGTTTACAACCCAGCACTTATAACCACGTGGTAGGGTACATTCCATAGCTCCCTCTGACAGGATAATTCCAATGTGTCATTTCATAAGAATACTGAACTAGACCCTAACTTGGCTAATTCTTGAGCACTCCAAATTCTCAAGAGGTTGCTTCTGATGGGAATCTGGCCCCAAGTGCTCTGAAGTGCTCATGCTTAACCTCTACAACTCGACCCAGGAACTATCTAGCCTGAGTTTCATGTTCAGTCCAGTCGGTCATCCTGGGCTAACAATCGTGAGGGTACATTGGTAAAGAAAAATGGAATTGACCAAAACTCAAGGCTAAAACTTTAGGCTACTGATCATTAGTGAAGGATCTGGTGTGTGATCTTAGGGCCATGATGGCACCAAGACTGTGGGTATTGACAAAGTCCACAGTAAACCCTTCACATACCAGCTCCATTCACACACACGGTCCCCTGAAATGCCGGTAGTACTGATATAAGAATGCCCATTCATAAACTTTAACTGCCTCAAAAACAAAGGCTACAACTCTTTCCTCTAGAAGATTTCTTAGATGAACAAGTAGGAGTTTCACCAGAGAAGCTGAAGTTCCTTTATACAATATTCTAAGTGAAATATGGTTTTCTTATCTTTTCACAAAAATGTTATTATAAACTAGAAAATATGAGTAAGCAAAAAATGTGAATTTGTATTTCTACCATCTATAGAGAACCACTATTAATAATTTTAGGCATGTCCTTTTAGCTCTACATTCTTCAATGCAGAAGCCACTAGCCACAGGAGGTTATGGAGTAGTTGAAATACAGCTAGCCAAATTGAAATGTGCTTAGTGGTACAATATGCATTGGACTTCAGAAAATGTAGAAAAATATGTAATACCTCTCATTAACATACTTTTATCAGTTATATTAAAATAATAATTTTACATTCACTTAGAGTATATTTAAATATATTTATAATTATAATCTCATTGTTTTATTTACTTAAATAAAATATTTACATTTAACTTCCCTTGTTTCCTTTTACTTTTTTAAATGTGACAATTAGAAAATTTTAAATGACCTAAATAGCTTGCATTTAGTATTGTATTTGTATTATTTATTATATTTCTACAGAATAATACTACTCTAGAACTTTTCTTATGCATTTAAGGAAATTTTTCTTATTCATATAACCTCTTTATGAGTGTTATAGTATATGTGCATTTTTGTTACTTCACTTTTCAGGTTTAATAATACTTATATATCAAGATACTGTGTATCAGCAAATACATATTACAACATTATTTTTAATAATCAGATATACAGTTCAGCATTATATTGACAACCTTAGTTTATTCAACCAATGTATTTGTGTTGAACTTTTAGGTTATTTCAATTTGGACATATTTCAAAAAAATACGAAGAATTTCTAAAATCAAAATCACTGTTTCTTCTGTCATATTGTTCCCACTCTTCTTTTTTTTGACAGGCAGAATGGACAGTGAGACAGAGAGAGACAGAGAGAAAGGTCTTCCTTTGCCGTTGGTTCACCCTCCAATGGCCGCCGCTGCAGCCGGCGCACCGCGCTGATCCGATGGCAGGAGCCAGGTGCTTCTCCTGGTCTCCCATGGGGTGCAGGGCCCAAGCACTTGGGCCATTCTCCACTGCCCTCCCTGGCCACAGCAGAGAGCTGGCCTGGAAGAGGGGCAACAGGGACAGAATCTGGCGCCCTGACCGGGACTAGAACCCGGTGTGCCGGCGCCGCCAGGCGGAGGATTAGCCTAGTGAGCCGCGGCACCGGCCTGTTCCCACTCTTCACCTTCAGGATAGAATGATTGTCTAAGAGTCAATGATGATGTTTTCATTTTATATGCATTTAAGTAAAAATTACCAGACAGATTTTTCTAAGGCACATCTGGAATATCTCCAGAAAAGATTTCACTTGTTACAAAACTGATTGTAAAACTAACCCTTATATAAATTAAAATGTATGAGTAAAAAATAGACCTGAGTTCTAATAGACTAATCTAATTAGATGTTTAATCACCCTCAGGTTTCTCAGTTTTTTTCTGAAAACTAATTTATAAAAAACTGCACTGATTTTAAGTAAATAAGTTATGGAAGCTCTCATGGCCTGGTCGTACAGCAAAAGAGAAGGAACTGAGTCTGTCTACAAATCCTATTGGTGACTCTGGTCACTACTGGTTGACTGATAAAGGTGCAAAGATGACCCAAAGATTCCCCAGCAAAAAACTCAGTAGTATTTTAAAACTTTGTAAAATAAAGTTTCTCCTCTGTTATTTAGGAATTTTGTCCTCTCTTCCTCTGTGCTATGAATTGAATGTATCTTCCCAAAATTCAATGTAATGGCTTTAAAAGGTAGGGCCTAAGGAATAGTTAGCTCATAAGGGTGAAGCCTCAAGAACAGGATTAGGACCCATAAAAAAGCCGTGAGAGAGCTTGCTTTCTGTCTCTCTCACTCTGCTCTCCACCATTTGAGAATACGAGAAGATGAACACCATCTCTCAACAGAAAGAAGGCCTTCCCCAAGAACCCCACCATGCTGACTCCCTACCTCGGAGTCCCAGCCTTCAGCACTGTGAGAAAGATGCTTGTTGCCTGGGCAACCAGTCTAAGGTGTTCCGTTACATCAGCCTACACTGACCGAAGCACTCTGTCTCAAGTTCCTCCAAGTTCTCAATGCAAGGCAACATCCCTGTGTATTTCAAAGAAAGATCAATGCTAAAAGGAATAGAGGCAAATGAGAAATTTGGCTTCTAACCAAAAAAAAAAAAAAAGACGATGACGATGATGACTTGACAAAAAAAGTTCTGAGATTTTAATGTGACAGAATGGAATCCTAGAAAGAAAAGCTCAATGTGACACGAAGAGGCAGGAGCAGCCTGAGAGCCAGCATCAAGAAATATTCATCCGCTTCCTACTCGGAGAAAAGCTGCAGAAACACAGAACAACTCTCATCCATAGGCTTTTTCTCCAAGGTCATCAGGTAAGCAACAAGCCAAAGGCCCAACAAGCCTACTTGATCTGTCCCTAAGATAGCAGCCTACTTCCCCATAAGAGTTGTACTATTAGAAGGAAAAGGAAAAGAAAGCTCGTCGTTTCACAATATTTGACAACCTCTGTCTTCTACCCAAAAAAGAGGAAAGAACAATAAAAGTAATCCATCCCAAATAACTGTCCCTGAACTACGGATGGAAGCTACAATAGAATTAATAAACTGGCTTAGAATAAAAAGCACTGTATAAATGCACCTACTGTCTGACCCTACTCAGGGGATCACACTCTACTTCAGTAAAATGCAGAACAGTTTAAGGTTAACCCTAGACATTGGACACTGTTTAACTGTGCTCTGTAAACGTTTTACAAAAGTAAACCACATGTGTTTATTCCAAGCATTTTAAATGTGGGCAGAAATAAAATCCTAAAATCTTCATTGGTACTGCATCCATTTTAAGACAGTAAATAGAAGAGAAGTACCTATAAACACCCCCTCTCTTAAGTATTTCTAGCTTTAAATACAGCATTCTTTGTTTCTATTTTTCACTGCATTTTTTTTGTTGTACCATGTGAAATGTAGGTCAAGTTGTTGGTAAGTGCTGGATAAAATCTGTTTATACTAAAAGTAAATGGTAAAATCCTTCCAGTTGGACATAGTTTAAAAATATTACTCCTGCTGATGTGCTATTCAGGGTATCCCCAATAGATTTAAATGCTGAGAAATTCTTAACATAAAATCTGGATGCTATATTTTAATCACAATTATATAACTCTCCCTTGAGAGAAAATACATAAAATTCACAAGACCTTCTACTCCTGGGGACCAATCATGAGGAGCACAGTTGAAATCTTATACAGGTGCCTGCGCTTTATGATCATTAAGTCATGAAAGAACCCACATGTTAGTAGGAACAAGAGGTAGACTATGGACTCAATGTTTGTGTCACTCCAAAGTTTAAGTCCTAATATATAGCATGATGGAATTTGAATGTGAACCCTTTGGGGGATAAATAGAGTTAGATGAAATCCTAAGGTTAGAACCCCTATAATGGGATTACTGACCCTATGAAGAGAGAAAGCAACCAAGGATCTCACCCTGTCCATCACAAGGATGCAGCAAGAAGACTTCCATCTGAAAGCCAGAAAGAAAACACACACAAGGAACCAGACCCTGCCAGCACCTTGATCTCAGACTTCTAGCTTCCAGAACCATGAGGGGGAAAAATGCCCATTGTTTATATTACGTATTCTGTGGGAGTTTGTTATAGTGGCCCCAATAGAATAAGACAAGGTGAAATTGCAATACTGAGGACAGGTCAGACATGTAAAAGCTACTGTTGACTCCAGGTGAAATTTTTCCTAGTTCATATTAGAATCATCAACATACATTGCTTTTCAAGTAGTAATTTTTGAACAGTAGCATACAGGAAAGCCTCAGTGTTGTCACATGGTAGCAGTATAAGAAACCAAAATGAAGTTCCTGGCTCCTGGCTTTGGCTCAGACCAACCCTGGTTGTTGTGACCACTTGGAGAGTGAACCAACAAATTGAAGATCCCCTTCTTTCTCTCTCTCTCTCTCTCTCTCTCTTTCTCCCTCCCTCCCTCTATTTCTCACTGTTACTCTTTTTAAAAGATTTATTTATTTGAAAGGTTGAGTTACAGAGAGAGAGAGAGAGAGAGAGAGAGAGAGAGAGAGAGAGAGGTCCTCCATCCTCTGGTTCACTCCTCAGATGGCCCCAATGGCCGGAGCTGCACCAATCTGAAGCCAGGAGCCAGGAGCTTCTTCCCAGTCTCCCACGCAGGTGCAGGGGTCCGAGGACTTGGACCATCTTCTACTGCTTTCCTGGGTCATAGCAGAGAGCTGGATCAGAAGTGGAGCAGCCAGGATTCAAACATGCACACATATGGGATGCTGGCACTGCAGGCGGCAGCTTTACCCACTACGCTATAGCACCGGCCCCCAAATAAATAAATCTTAAAAAAAACTTTTTCCCCAAAATAAGCTTATCTTTTTTTTAAAAGATATATTTATTTATTTATTTGAAAGAGTTACAGAGAGGCAGAGGCAGATCGAGAGAGCGAGAGCAACAGAGAGAGAGGTCTTCTATCTTCTGGTTCACTCCCCAAATGGCCATGACCATGATGGCTGGAGAAGGGCCGATCTGAAGCCAAGAGCTTCTTCCGGGCCTCCCATGTGGGTGCAGGGGCCCAAGGATTTGGGCCATCTTCTACTGCTTTTCCAGGCCACAACAGAGAACTGGATCAGAAGGGGAGCAGCTGGGACTCAAACCGGCACCCATATGGGATGCTGGCACTGCAGGCGGCAGCTTTACCTGCTATGCCACAGTGCCAGCCCCAAACTTATCTTTTAACTACATTTTTCTAGGAACATTTTTAAATATGCCCATGTACACACACACACACCTTCAGTTTGTCTGATACTCTTTTGCTATATTAATCCCAATCATGAGTTTTTATGCAATGTATACGATGTCTAAACAGATAGGAGTGGTTATTTTTGGTGAAGGGGCTGAATTATTTGATTCCCAAGTTTTTCCAATGTACCATCATCACTGTCACAGCTCTTACTTAAACCATTGTTGTCTGTAACTGTAGAATTGTGGAGTGGAATCATCCAGGTGCTGCCACGTGGCAGGACAACATTCAGAGTAACTCTAGACCCTAGGACAGATGCTCTTCTGGCTAAAATCTTCTGGTTTTGGGGCCGGTGCTGTGGCATAGCAAATTAAGCCTCCACCTATAGTGCTGGCATCCATATGGACACCAGTTCAAGTGCCAGATGCTCCACTTCCAGTCCAACTCCCTGCTAATGTGCTGAGGAAAACAGTGCGTGCTCCTACACCCATGTGGGAGACCTGAAAGAAGCTCCTGGCTCCAGATTGGCTCAGTCCAGTCATTGCAACTATTTGGGGAGCGAATCAGTGGATGGAAAATCTCCGTCTCTCCCTCTCTCTGCCTATAACTCTGCCTCTCAAATAAATAAAACTTTTTTAAAAAATCATCAAGTTTTAGAGTAACCTTGACCTGAATCAAAAATTACTTCTCTGGCAGTGTTTTTTGGGTGTTCCATAGAGTAAAGAAAGGTATCACCAAAAATAAAAGCTCTATCATGATAAAAACAAACCAATATATAAATCACAATGGAAAAAAAATAATAAAACCTACCAAGGAAAAATATGTGATGCCTAGAGTTTTACTAGGTAGGCATGGATCTGAGGTTCGTGGATAGACAAGGTATAGTCTTCAACTGTTCCTAAATAAGCTGATGCTCCCTAATCTCCAGCCATTTGCTTCTAACGTGTGCTAAAACCAGCACCACAGTCCTGTAGAGAGCAGAATCTGTATTGGTAAATGACAATAGCTTTCCGTGGGAACTCAGCTAGTCCTGGCTCTAGTCCTGACTCAACCATGGACTTGCTCACCTAAAGTCTTAAATGAAGATGTCGCTTGTGTTTAGAGAATAGGGAGCACAATGCTGAGACTATAATGAAGGAAAGATTAGAAAAAAAAATAAGTTGCCAGTTGCAGTATTTCCTCCCAGTGCTTGTCTAGGTTATGAGCCAAATAAATTGGAGACCTCTAATTTAAAGGACAGGAAATGAAGAAAGTCTGCCCCTCTTATAAAAATAGAATCACATCCTTCCTGTGCATACTTTAAAAATAAATATTTTACTTGCTTATGGTGATTTAAGTGCCCTTCACTATTTTCCTTTGGAACAACTCTTACCATGGCTGAGCCACCCTCTCACCAGTAAACCTCAGCACTCTGGCTTGCTATGTTTTCTCAGGATTTCAGCATGGGTGGCCTGGGAGCAATGAGTCACTGGATTCAACCTGGTGTTGGATCTACTAGGAGATACCAAGCTGTGTTCCAAGATTGGGGATCCCAATTTGTCAGCTCATAAATGCCATGGGCAAATCCAAGGAGAGGCGCAAAGACCTTCCTCCAAAGGGGGTTCATGTTTCTGAAGTTCTCTATTCCCTACCAGTACAATAGTAAAGAAGGGATGCCAAACCCTGAAGGAACATAGCAGGCAGCTGAAGTACAAGAGCATCAGTCTGAGTTCTCTGCTCATCAGCAGTTTTGGAACCACAGAGCACAGCCTCACTGAGTTCTGCATTCCTTGGATAGCTTCTAAGAGCCAAATAGCATGCTAAGTGCTGAGCAGACAAAAATTAAAAGAAAAAATGGTAGGTCCCTATCTTCAATAAGCTCACCATCCGAAAGGTTTTCTCACATTTTTACTTAATCATTCTATAGTTGTAGCTCTTACATGTATGTATATGACCCATTTTAAGGTAATATTGTGATAGGATTTGATGTGAGGGTTGAGGTTCATTTCTTTGCATACAACTATTCAATTCCTCCAGCACCATTTGTTGAAAAGTTCACTCTTTCTTCCACTGGATTATTTAGATATCTTTTCTAAAAATTAATTGACTGCACTGTAGACTTTTCTATCTCATTTATTTATTTATCTTTAGACCAAAACCATACTTCGTAGGTTATTGTGGTTTTATCATCATTCTTAAAATTAGATCACATAAGTCTTCTAATTTTGTTCATCTTTTATTTATTTATTTATTTATTTGACAGGCAGAGTGGACAGTGAGAGAGAGAGACAGAGAGAAAGGTCTTCCTTTGCCGTTGGTTCACCCTCCAATGGCCGCTGCAGCCAGCACACTGCGCTGATCTGAAGCCAGGAGCCAGGTGTTTCTCCTGGTCTCCCTTGGGGTGCAGGGCCCAAGTACTTGGGCCATCCTCCTCTGCCTTCCTGGGCCACAGCAGAGAGCTGGCCTGGAAGAGGAGCAACCGGGACAGAATCCGGCGCCCAGACCGGGACTAGAACCCAGTGTGCTGGCACCACAGGCGGAGGATTAGCCTAATGAGCTGTGGCGCCAGCCCCAATTTTGTTCATCTTTTTAAAAATTATTTTGATTTGTCTAGATCCTTTGCATTACCACATA